GGAGAAAATGCTGAGACATTCTAAATTAAACAAGAACTGGACCAAAAATCTGTTACAACAGGTCTTTTGGAGTGATTAATTCACACTTAAAATTTTGGGGTCAAACTGTCACTAAAATGAGAAGGAAGGTCACGAGGGAGCGTCCACCATATCGTGACAATGATCCCATACCTGGATAGAAAACACATTCCCAGAACCTGGACCTTAACATTATTAAAGCAGCATCCTTAACAGACAACTGGGGAAATATTCCTACTAAATGAAATTACAAAAATCTTGTCTAAGAGAGTTTATAAGAGGCTTTGAGGGAGAATAAAGATGGTCATATCAAATACTGACTTTTAAGCTGCTTGCTTTAAATGCTGTATTTCCATGTTGTTTCTTAAAATGTTTAAATCACTGCACCCATTTCCAATCCTCCCAGTAAAATCTAAAGAAATGAGCGGTGGCTCTTTTGCACACTACTGCATTTTTATTTCATGTGCTATATCACTTCCTGCGTACTATGACCAAACACTGAATGGTGTGCATTACCACGAGTGTATATTAAGATCTGCTGCATGCATTAGGGTGAGAAGGTGTCTTTCATCTTTCACAAATTTCCCACGTCACCGTGATCATTATCAGACATCCGTCACCCCTATCACCATTACCATCTGAAGCATCTTGGCCCTGTTCAGCTCAACATCTTTATCTGCTCCTCCTCTGCAGTCTGAGGAGGATTCCCTGTCGGAAGCTGCAGGGGAGCATGTGTCCAGAACAGTGGATGTAAAGTGACAGAAGCTGCATGTATTTATAGGCTATCTGAGTAGAGGAATGTGCTGCTCACTGTTCAAGCTATTTATAGAGCCTTTTACTGATGCCTCTGAGCAGAGTGGAGGAAAGGAGATGGTTCTCCCGGGTATTACTTACGAGGCTCCCTCATATCTCCCTCTACCCTCATTCCTTGCACGTCCGACCTTCTCGCCACATCTCTACCCTCCATCCTCTTAACATCCACTTGCATCGACTCTTGTTTCTCACTTTCCATCTTCTGCCGCTGCCTTCTCCCCTCCCCTCTCTCCCCTGCTGATCTCCTCCTCTTTACCTCCTCTTCTCCCCATTTTCCATCTTCTCGCAGAGCCTTTTTGCTCGTGTCCACATCCATCACCTTCACCCCCCCTCGCTCCCTCAATTTACTGTACCCCCACCTCTCTCCTTCCTCTTCTCTTGTATTTTCCAGATGTTTTCACTCCTTTAGAAAATTTTCCCCGTCTTACGCTCTCATCTGCAGTTGTATCAAAGAGGCACTCACATTGCTAATATGCAGAGAGCAAAACCATTTTAAACTCTTCTCTAAATTCCTAACAGCAGGCGCTCTGACAGGAGCTCAGGCTCTGAAGTGGTCAACGTAGCCCTGCAAAATCAAATAAAATAGCGCTGGAAATTTTCAAAAGCTCAAAAGGCTTGAGAAGTTAGACTGTCAAACAGCAGCAATCTCATCAAATGGTTCAACCTGAAAGGTGGGATACCTCTCTCAAGTTTTACTACCTTCACGTCCAAAAATCTCCTTTTCTGCTAATATTGTTTCTACTGCCTGACACTTTTACCAGTTACTGTGTCACTTAAAATCTTGTTTACTCTTATTTTTTTTAAGCTTTCTCAGTCTTCAGTGACTGTTATCGCCTGTCCTAGTAAAAAATATGCACATGTCCTTGAAGTGATCGTCCTGCTACCATTTGTGTGCCTGTTGAAGCGTGAACGCATGTGCAAAATAAACCTGAAATAAGTAAAAGTCCACAAGCAAACAAAACAGAAGACACACACACACACACAATAGGCTGCAGGCCACAATACAGCATCTGTATACGGTTATTAATGACCGAGAGTAAACGAGTATGTTCATTTCATTATTTTTGCTGAAAGAATGGACAATCCTTGAGCTGAATGATGTAACAGGATGCAGTAGTTGATGTCAGCATGTGAGTCTTCTAGCTGTATGAACACACGCACGCAAACACACACGCACACACAGACAGACACACCTCCTCCCACGTCCCTGACAGCGTGTTGTGATGCAGAGTGGCGTCTGCTCGTCAAGCTGACAGACCGGCACTGACAGCGTGGTCAGAGCGCTGCAGACAAGGGAGAAAAAAAACACTGATTTTATAACGCTCCAAACCACAACAACAAACAGCCCACAGGGCACGAGCAGTGCAGCACTCAGGACCATCAACCTTGTTTTTGGCCCTTCTGATGCTGTGTCACTGACGGTTGAGCAACGCCTTCTTATGCGAGTCTCACACTGCCAGGAAATCGTGCGTTGACTATACACTGATCAGCCACACTAATACCACCTTTCAAATATTTTGTAGGTCTCCTTGAACAGCTCTGGTGAGGCATGAACTCCAAAAAAACCCCTCTGAGGTTTATGACATAAGCAGCAGGTCATTTAAGTCCTGCGCAGGTGAAGAGAGGGGCCTCAAGGCCAGGTCAACAGAAGGTTGAACGCATTCCAGAAATTACAGCAGGGATTTGAGGAGCACAGCAATGTGGCTTTATCCTGTTGAAAGAGATGGCCGCTGCCATCAGGAAAAAAACCAAACAAAACAAAAAATGTTTACGTAGGTACAAAAGCTTCCACATGAATGACAGGACCCAAGATTACCCAGCAAATCACTACCTAGAGCATCAAACTGTCTCTGCCAGCTTGTGCTCAAACACATCATCAGACCATCAGAACACCTTCCTTAACTGCTCTGCTGTCCGGTTCTGATCACAACTTGGAAAGATGGGAATAAGCACACAGCTCCCTCTACATTTTGTGTTCCCCTATTTAAAAAATAAAGAGAGATATAGTGGAGAAAATATGCCTTAATTTGATAAGACAGTAAAAAGTAAGGGGGGAGAGGGGGTGAATGTCACGCAGCAAATGACCCGAGGCGAACCGAGGCTGCTGCAGTAAGGACTTCAGCTTTCAGGACATGGCATGCATGCTGCACCGGCTACAGAACTGCCCCTCTGATGCCCTTCAATCAGCAATTTGTGAGCCCATGACCCTCTCACCGGTTCACTGCCTGTCCTATGTTGGACTGCTTCTGCAGGTACTAACACCTGCATACAGGGAACACCACACAACACTTCCCTACTGAGGTGCTCTGACCTGCTCCTCTAACCATCATACTTTGGAAACTTTCAAAGTCACTCCAATCCTAATGCCCGACCATTTCTCCTGCTTCCAGCGCACCAACTTCACAAAGTGATAGTTCATCAGCCTGCTCTTCGACAGCTGCCACTGATATTAAAGCCAATGTTATTCACTTCACCCGTCACTGGTTTCAGCGTTGTGGCTGATTAGTGTATATGAGACAGCGTAAGTAGTACAAAGTGCTCACCATTAAAATAAATTTGGGGGATTCCTGCAGTATTACAACTGCATTTTAATGACATTTAAATAATCAGCATATGATGATTCAAAGCTGCTATGCAGGAGGTCTATGAGTTGGAATTTCTATAATCTTCATTACACTGTATCAGCTTTGTTAAGTGATAGGCAGTTAATTATGGGGATGTCATTACTGCTCAAACACATCACGCAGAATGAGCATCTTTCCGTTCCCATAAAGCCCTGGAAGGGGACTATGATTGCAATGTGGCGACAAAACCACCAAAACAGACACGTGCTGCCCTTCAGCCTCAATAGGGCAGAAGTGTTGAAGCTTAGCCAGTCCACACCACCTCTGTCGTCACCCTGTCAGTCTGCCTTCACTGCACTATTACACAGCCAACAGTCTGAGAAAGAAAGAGGAACGGAGAGGCAGAGGGAAGGAGAAGGAGAGGCCGCCTGGAGTTAAAATTGAAAGGGAGAGAAAATGTGATGGTGAGGTGGTGACCAAAAGAAATCAAAGAGGCAGAGGAGGGTGGGAGGGGAGCAGGGGGAACATGAGAGAGAGTGAAAGCAGAAGATGAAGACGGCGGGAAAAAGAGGAGAAAAAAGAAAGAGAGTGATAGAGTGATAGTGAGAGAGAGAGGCTCAGGAACTGTGCAGCTGTGGGACCGTATTAAACAATCACTTCTGTGTCAGCAGCTCAACACACCGGCAGAGAGGACATCTAGTATAGTAGAGGCAGCCAGTACAAAAACACCCATCGCTGACGTCAAGCCGAGCTCTGTTTCCTCATGCGTCTGTACCAGAATCTGCGCTATGAATTGGCCTATTAACAGAAGATAATGAAACATGTCAGATGAGTGCAAAACCCTTCACCAAACATGCATGCAAAGCGAGCTCATCCACACGCTGCATGCAGTCTGCAGACTCAAGCATCAGGCCTGATTCATGAGCTGCTGCCTGTATTGACACAGGAAGATCCTGCTGGGCCTTGCATCCCCTCAATATTAATCACACAATGACATCGCCGCCCAACAGGCCAAAGGCATACGTGCCGGGGAAACAAAAAAGACAACAACCCACAAAAGAACCAAAAAAAACCCAGACAAAAAAAAAACAACAAAAAAAACCCATTCACATGTAACATCTCATTTGGTCAGCGTGTAAAATTCATCACACACAGAAAGAAATCTGTGTATGTTGTGCATGTCTAGCATGTGCTAAAGGGGGGGCAGGGCATCACCACAACGCAAGCCTCAAGACAAGAGGGTGGTTGCCGTGGAAACCTCAGGCTGAAAGCTCGGCAGCCGGACGACTGAGGGAAGAGAAGGAGCGATAGACGGCGAGAGACAGAGAGAATGAGTGTGTGTGTGTGTGTGTGTGTGTAAAATAAAAGGGTAACATCTCAGGGGCAAGCGGAGAGAAAGACAAGGTGTGTTAGCTGGTGGAGGAGGGTTGACAATGATATCCAAGAAATGGTGCTAGAGAATGAAAGAGACAATTACAGACATACAGTGAGGCAGCAGAGAGGATGAGATCAAAGAAGAGTAAAAAAAGAAAAAGAAGAGGAGTGCAGCAGTGATGGAGGCCAGAGGGTGGAAGAGGGGAGCGATAGAGGGTGATGTGGACTCACAGGGAACAGTGCGGAGGTAGAGGTTGTCTCTGATGATTTGCTGGTGGTCGTGGTCCACTGAGCCCTTGGAGAAGCGCAGGTTGAGGTAGTGCCGCAAATCCTTGTCAACCACCCCCCCTAAAACACAAAGCGAGCAAGAGAGAGAGAGACAGAGAGAGAGAGAGAGAGAGAGAGGTCAGAGCTTGATGACAACACACAAACTGGCAAAGGACATTTTTCTCTTGATCCAAGTCAGACTGTTTCAAAACCACCAAAAGGATTTCCACTGCAGTGGAAGAACAAGCACCAATTATTAAACAAAAAAAAGACACACAACTTTAAACCCGTTACGGAAAACTGAAAGTTTAAAATGACACAAAGCATCAATGCATGAATATCAGCTACTTCAGAAGCTCTTCGTCTTCAAGTTTGAGTAATTTTCTTTAATATTTTCCAACAAAAAGCCGAAGCGCACCGATACAGAATGCACAGACTGTCAAAGCTGTTAGCAAAGCGAAACACTGAGGAATATTTTAACAGTATAAAACTTCCTTGAGGAGCAATAAAAGAGAAGACGGCATGTTAAAGGGGGGGGGGGAGAGAGAACAAAACACAATTTTGTAGTGTCATGAGAAAAAAATGGCTTGCAATGATTTTCACAACAAAGCAAAACAGCAAAGGCTACTAGAGCAATTGTGTAAACCAGTGATCCCCTTGGGGTTAAATGTGCGGTGTCAGCAGGCTGGGTGACAAAGGCTACAGAGGACAGAAGCTCAAACCTCCTCATTTCTCCCTCTCTGTCTCTGATGATTACGTGCTGTTTGAGCTTTCACCCTTTTCATTATGTCACTGAGCTGAAACAAAGAAAAGTAAATGACAAACAAAATAAGGGCAAAAGGCTAAGGAGCAGGCCAACATATCTATGCGGCATATAGTGCATGCGTGTGTGTGTGTGTGTGTGTGTGTGTGATAATGTCCATGAATAGTTTCTCCTCCCTTCATCTGAAACCAAAGAAGCCCAGGAGGATGAGAGGAGGGGAACTTATTTTCCACACAGCATTCGATATGCAAAACCATCACATCCGACAGCGGGAGGGATGAGGTTACATGCCATGCATTTACAAATGACAAAAATGCCTCCTCACTCATGCATACTCTAGTGACCTCCTGCCAAATGGAGTTGACAGCGTTCAGGATACCAGTTAAGATTCAGGCAGTGTCTGCCTTTCATAGGAAACTCTTTACATTGGAACCATGCATACACGGCCCTGACACAGGTGACACTGTAATTCTCAAATGATCAACCCTTTTAGTCTAACATCTTATGTAAACTGACACCATTTTAGCAAGGCCACGAAGCACCATGAAATGCTTCACAAATAGAAAAGAGCGAGGTGAGAGGAGAGGAGAGAGGAGAGGAGGAGAGGATAGGAAAGGAGAGGAAATGAGGAGAGGAGAGGAAAACAAAGGAATAGATGGAAGACAGGATGAAATCTTGATTGGCATTACTACTAGACGGTGATTGTTCTAGATGGGTTTACCATGATGTCACGCAGCTATGCATTCATGCATAGGCCATATCTCTGACATGCACAGGCACCAGCATACATATATATCTCTACATACACACCGATACATGCTCAGAGAGAGAAAGACATCCGAGAGAAAGAGCTGTGCAAGCCGGGCACCTCATCAGTACCTGGCCCAGATGTTGATATAAGCGGTCCTTTCTCTACAGGTATATATCCAAAGACAGCCTGTCCTCCCAGGCGTCCTCTAGCCTTGCAACCATCCACCGCACATCTTCTGCCGCCTTGGTGAAACCACACTCTCTCGCCTCCTGCCTCTGCTTCTCCACTGCTGCTCCAGCACACAGCAGTAACCAGCTGCAGCCAATTTTAATCCCAGGGAAGAAGATAAGGACGGGGGGGATGGGAGATGTAAAATGACACGGATAGATGGCGAGAGACGACGACCGTCGGGAGGAAAAAAAGAGGAGAAGATGTACCAGTGTGAAGTCGGGCTCCACAAAAACCTACCAGCGGATTGGCCGGATGACTTCCACAGTCCTGCAGCAGCCCCTATCTGCTGCTGCTATTACTGCACTGGTGTGTGTGTGTTTTGTGTGTGTGTCTCCAAAAGACTGAGAGAGACAGTACGTGGTAGTATCAGATAAATGTTTATGCATGTGAAAGCATTTGTAGAGTGTGTGTCGGTATTTTTTTCCATGTATGAGCACATCCAGATGCTCCCCGACGTTCCTCAAATACTCTCCATCTCCCGTCCACCAGATGCTCTCCCTGTTTGACCTTGTGTCAAAGTAGCCTAGACTAGAGAGAAATACTGTGACGCGCAGCAGCAGCAGCATATGTCACAGTGAGGTTACACTCACTCATCCGCACACGGAGGGCTGATGAGCTCACAGCTGCAGAAGATGCCTCGAGCGCCGTCTTGAGCAAGGTTTGGTCAAAACACGAGACGTAAACAAACACCAACACAGAAACACACGCTCGTGATATGAGCGCTTGGCTCGAGGCACAGCTGACTGTGGAGGAGGGGTGTATTTGAAGAAGCTTTATTGGTGTGACTGTTCAAACAGAACAAATTTACCAGTCTCAGAGTTAAACTTGATGCTGTAAACATCACAGTGAACTCGTTTGGTGCCTGTCTGCTTCAACAAAGCAGAAAATAATTCTGGGAAAGGCAGTTTTTATAGATTGCCAAAAACGGCAGCATGAAAGCGGGGTAGAAAGGACGACGGCACAATCAATCAACACCATCAATCAAGGCAGACAGCAATCAGTGCAGGACTACACAGACTCACACTGCCCATCGACTCTCTTTTACATGATCCCCAAAATCACGCACAAACATTTAAACACAAAGGTTCATTTAAACAAATTCCTCCCTTCTGCCCACATCTGCCGTTACTGGTGGAGCTGCTGGCACTACCTCCACCACAGCAGTCTTCACCTCATTATGTGATTAGATGAGTCCAAAATCACTCCCAGTTTACCATACAGAGCACTAAATTTACTGTCCATTTTATTCATAATCACTAGTGCCCTTAAATATTCCACAAGGGCTTGACTGCTTAATTCCTGTGCTCAATATCTCGTTAAAACGTATCTCTTCTGCTACTGCTGGGTGAGCTAAAAGGCTCCAGCTGAGTATTTAGCAAGCTACTTGGATCCACAGAATCAACTGCATGTTTAACCATGCTGACAGCTTCACGTTTTACTAAAGAAACCCTGAAAATCGAGCAGAATTCAGTTTTACACACAGAGACGTATAGATAGTTGGCCACATACATCAGATAATCTAATGTCTTTGTTGCTTAGCAACACAAAAGAACCAGATCTGTCTGCACAGCTGTTCATTTACCTAACGCCACACACCCAAATTAGAGAGCTTGTTCAGCGTTTAAACGTCAATATTTCTAATTCTACATGCCTAAATAAGTGTCTTCACATGAAAAAAAACCACCACCTTCACATATGTTCAAATGAAAGATCATCAAATGTTCTGTCCTACAATACAACGTCTTTACTGATCAAAGCAAGGCTGCCACTGCAAATGCATTTTAAAAAAAGTAAACAAATCTGTCAACAGCTATACGTTAAGGATATGAATATGCAATCAAATCTGACAACAAGAGGACTATGCAACTGTCAAAATACTGAACCAGGAAGACAGTTTGTAACATTAATTCAATTCAATTTGATTTATATAGTGCCACATCACAACAGCAGTCACCTCAAGGTGCTTAATAGTGTAAGGTAAAGAGGGTCTAAACAATCAGATGACCCCCCTATTAAGGAAGTGGGAAGGAAAAACTCCCTTTTAACAGGAAGAAACCTCCGGTAGACAAAGTCACCTATTTTGAGGGTCTAAAGTGTAAAAAAAATGGGTTTGCCAGGTCACTGCTGCAGCTGTCTTTAGTTGTTTGTGGATCTTTTTTCCTTTTTTTTTAAGCAAGTGAAATGCAGCAAGATCAGGTTGAGATCAGGTCACTGACCTGGTCACTGCAGAATATTCCACTTTCAGACCTTCAAAAACTCCTGAGCTGCATTCACATTATGTTTCAGGTCATTGCCTTTCTGTACTCTCAAGTGTCCTCCAGTGAAGTTTGCTGCCCGAGCTTTGCACAAAGTGACACTTCAAAAAATGTACTTGTGTAAATGTGAGTTGTGACCCAGTGCCAAAGAAGCGATGTTGATCCATGCATCATACTGCCTCTGCTGTACTTTTTTTTTTTAAATGTAGTACGCTTCAGGATCAGAACCTGTCAAAGCCTTCTCCACACTTTCTTCTCCACAGTTATCTTACTGGCTGTTTTTGGCAATTTTATAATCTTATCTTTTTCTTCTTTGAACACGTTTGCATCTTGTGGTGATCTTTCTGTATTTCTTTTTGTGAAGTCTTCATCATAGATTTGGATAATTATAAGCCTTCCTAATGGAGTGTTCCTAAATTGGCTGCCTGTTCTGATAACACTAAGTTTCCTGTCATGATTATGACCACTCACAATGCTCTTTACTTTAAGTCCAAGCTTTTTTTCCCCCATGTTTCTAAGCTCACAAGCGTTCTTGTATCAAAACTGTTGATTTTGCCCTTCCTAATATTTCTGTTATCCCTTTGAAGATTTTCTTTGTTTTTGCTGCCTCAGGATGGCCTTTTTTCATTTGTACTGACAGCTCCTTTGAGCGCAGTGATACCAAATGTACACAACATACTTGGAAACAGCTCTAAACCGTTTACCTGTCATGATAACACGCGAGGCCCCGAGTACAGAGGATTGGGACTATAAATAACTATAATGGCTCGATAGTTGTTGCATCATTTTTCTTTAGTGTATTCATCGTGTGTATTCACCTATAAGGTGAATGTCTTAGTACACAACTAAAATATTAACTGTTCTATGAGTGCACACACATATAAAGATCTAAAAGTATATCAATCAGCACCTTAACACCTGTTAAATGTGCTCTCCCCAAGCCTCCAAATTAAAAAAAAAAAATCACTTCCTGTTATTTCAGTAATATTTTATATTGAAGAATGTATATCCTCTGCTCATCTCATTTCCAAGTTGGAACAACTGTTAATTAAGCTAAGTTCACTGACATTAATGATTTATT